CAAACAGTAGCTGAAAGCTGAGATCATACAAACAGTAGCTGAAAGCTAAAACCATAGAAACAGTAGCTGAAAGCTAAGACCATACAAACAGTAGCTGAAAGCTAAGATCATACAAACAGTAGCCAAAATTTAAGACAGTACAAACAGTAGCCGAAAGCTAAGATGGTAAGCACAGTAAATGAAAGCTAAGACCATTCAAACAGTAGCTGAAAGCTGAGATCATACAAACAGTAGCTGAAAGCTAAAACCATAGAAACAGTAACTGAAAGCTAAGGCCATACAAACAGTAGCTGAAAGCTAAGATCATATAAATAGTAGCTGAACACTAAGACAGTACAAAGAGTAGCCGAAAGCTAAGACCAGACAAACAATAGCTGAAAGCTGAGATCATACAAACAGTAGCCAAAATCTAAAACAGTACAAACAATAGCCAAAAGCTAAGACGGTCAAAACAGTAGCTGAAAGTTAAGATGAACATCAAGGTTCATGCTCAGTAATCCAGGTAAAAAATCCAACAATGTTCAGTCAGGTCATCTGGACAGTTTCTTTGTTGTTGTTGTTGTTGTTGAGAGACGTTTCATCCGTCATCCAACGGACTACTTCAGTCTGGAGACACAAACAAACTGTTTCCCCACAAGCAGTACACTCTGACAGTGGACCAAAAGTGGCTCAAGACATCAAGGTTCATGCTCAGTAATCCAGATAAAACTCAATAATCCAGGTAAAAAATCCAACAATATTCAGTCAGATCATCTGGATAGTTTCTTTATTATTATTTTTTGTTGTTGTTGTATATTACCATACAAACAGTAAAGCTAAGACAGCAGTAACAGTAGCTGAAAGCTAACAGTAGCTGAAAGCTAACAGTAGCTGAAAGATAGGTTCATACAAATGTCAGATAACAAAGTCCATCTGGTTTTTCCGGCACAGATGCCAAGCAGCAGGGTCACCTGTGTCCAGCAGCCACTGGGCAAAAGGGGGCGGAGTCACACCTCAGACAGGACACCTGTCCATCACACAGACGGACAGCTCCTCTTATTCTCAGTCCGTGACAGTTTTTAGTCTGTGGGAAAATACAAGAGAAAACCATGGGAGAACATGTAAACTCCACACTGCAGGCGGGTTTCGAACCTGTGACTTTCTTCTGATTATGCTCTGACACGTTTTTGACCAAAGATCAAAGTTAAAGGTAAAACATGAATTAATAAAAGTTCATAATCTGTTTAATAAACTTCAACATGAGCCTTTTATCATTTCCTTTATTAACTCGACTTTCTAACAGGAATCACTTTTAAATGTTTTTACAGAAACCTGTTTGTTGATGTTCTGGTGGTTCATAAACCAGTTTGTTGATGGTTCTGGTGGTCATAAACCTGTTTGTTGGTGGTTCTGGTGGTTCATAAACCAGTTTGTTGATGGTCCTGGTGGTTCATAAACCAGTTTGTTGATGGTCCTGGTGGTTCATAAACCAGTTTGTTGATGGTCCTGGTGGTTCATAAACCAGTTTGTTGATGGTTCTGGTGGTTCATAAACCAGTTTGTTGATGGTCCTGGTGGTTCATAAACCAGTTTGTTGATGGTCCTGGTGGTTCATAAACCAGTTTGTTGATGGTCCTGGTGATTCATAAACCAGTTTGCTGATGGTCCTGGTGGTTCATAAACCAGTTTGTTGATGGTCCTCTCATCATTGCAGCGTCCTCAGAGTTCAAACAGCTGAACATCAGAATGTTTTCTCCGTTTTATTAAAAAAAAACTGTTTGATGTATTTTCTGTTGTAGTTTGTTTTTATTTGTTTGTTTACTTTGATTTCTCTTGGATTATTGAATGCTTGTTTTTTGTGGATTATTCTGCCTTTAGATTAATTATGATGCAATTATGATCCTTCTCACATGTCTCGTTTTTGTCCCCTGGACTTCCATAAAAACTCTTCTCTTCTTTGAAGCGTTAATGAGAAGCTCGTGCAGAACGGTCGATCCTGACCAGCAAAATGTTTCACGTTCACTGAAAACACAGTAAAACACAGTAAAACACAGTAAAACACAGTAAAACACAGTAAAACACTTTGGGAGGTAAGACATTTAAGATCAGTCCTGATCCCACTGAATGCAGGATCACCACCGCCCTCCTTTTATTCCAGCCAACACATCATTCCTCCCACCCCAAAGTTTACAGCTTATATCAGCCGAAGAGGAGCCGAAGGGAGGAGGAAGGATACAAATGATGAGGATGTAGTGATGCGGGGAGGATGTGCTCAGACTGAGAAGAGTTTATTGATCTGATGATGGAGCTTTACACCTGAGCTAACTGCAGGAAAGCTAAACACAGAACAGCTAAAAGTGATTTATTTATTTTTAGTGGGGGGGGCATCATGGTCTGATGCTGACCTGAGCTTCATCCTCTGCTGAAAACGCTTGTTGTTGCTTCTTGGAGACATGATGTGGACTGAGGCCGGAGGCTGGCGTGCACGTGAATGGGGCTGACGCAGAGTGAGCTCATCTTAGCTGGGGGGGCTTCCCCCACCGAGAGCCACAGCTGCTGCTCGTCCTCTCACATCTCGCGTTCTCACACTCTGCGTGCAGATATGCTCATTTTGTACAGAAACGTTCTGTCCTCATACCTCTGCTGCTCCTGCTGACTTTAACCTCCCCACCCACCCCCACCCCCAGACTCAACCCCAATCCTAATCCAAACCCAAAACCAAGTGCTGACCCTAATCCTCTTAACGAAGGAAGAAAAGGCAAAAACGTTGTCACTTCTGTGTTGCTGTGCTCAGGAGGACCTAAAGCACAGAGAGGAGCAGCAGGCTTTAGGACCCAGTCTGTATCATCAGGAGGAGGAGGAGGAGGTGGAGGAGGAGGTGCTGTATTTGGAAAGTCAGGGTACCAGAAGAAAGCTGACACAGAAGGAGGACCTTCTCGTGTCAGGAGGAGGATGAGGAGCATCAGGACGTGGATCTTTGGCAGAGCGTGCACGTTTCTGCAGCCGAGCTGCGTCCGTGTGACATCTGCATGAGAGCAGCTGGAGGGGCAAGTTCAACTTCAGCTTCCTGCACACGCACACACACACGCACGCACGCACGCACGCACGCACACCAGTCCTGTGGATATGTTCAGGAGTCCATATAAAGGTGAGGAAATAAAAAAAGTTTGAATATTTTATTTTATTTTGCTGTTTTCACTTCATGAATAAAAAAGTTCATTTTATTTTCAGGAGTTTAACAAATTAAAACAGAATGTAAAAGATTTATTAACATATTTAACAATTTGTTAAATTACAGCCAGATGTTATGTTAGATCAAACTTGGAGAACGTTCTGTTGTTTACAGTATTTTACTCCTCATGCTTTATTATGCACATAAAGAAACTAATAAAAGACTTACTTATTTATATGTGAAAATGTTATTTTATTATAAAATTATTCTACTTTTATTAATATTTATATTATCATTGATTAAATTTTTATTAGTTCAACAAATCAAAGCAGGAAACATGCAGTTTTTTGTATCTGACAGTGATATTTTTATTTTGAATGATTAGTATTTCCTGTCGTTTTTAATAATTTATATTTAATAATAAATACAAATATTTTCTCCTGCACTGATTTGAACATCATGAATAAGAATTGTTACTTCCTGTACATGAAACATTAATGTTCTTATTCTGATGGTTTTCAGTCAACAGTTTTTAATTGTGTCGTATTAAATCCTCTCTTTTTAAAAGACAAACTGTTTCTGCAGCATTTTCCTTCAAAACGTCCAGCAGCTCAGTATCTGCAGAGGACATCCCCCACCACCACCACCACCACCACCACCACTACCAGGCAAATGCTGCAAAGCCCCTTTGTTTACAGTTCTTTAGTGGTTTCCTCTGTCAGACTCAGGTGGTTCAAACCACTGGATCTGGTTCAGTTCTGGTGTTGATCTGGACCTGATTCTAACAGCTGTCAGACTCATGTTTTAAAGAACTTGCAGCTTTTCTCCTGCTCTGATTTAACAGCAGCGAGGTCTCCTCTGATGTGTGTGTGTGTGTGTGGGGGGGGGGGGGCATACTGCTCCCTCCCAGCCTGTTATCAAATTCTAAAAAATGTCAAAACAGACAACATGACACAACACAATAAGGCACAAAACACAGCATCACGCAATGTGACACAACGCCACACTGCAATACACAAAACAAATCAACAAGACACAAGACACAACAAAACAAGGCACAACAAAACAAGACACAACAAAACAAGACACAACAAGACATGACACAACAAGACATGATACAACTAGATGCAACAAAACAGGACACAACAAAACAAGACACAACAAGACAAGACACAACACAACAAGACACAACAAGACATGACACAACAAAACAAGACCTAACAAGACATGACACAACAAGAGACAACACAACAAGACATGACACAACAAGACAAGACACAACAAGACATGACACAACAAGACACAACAAAACAAGACACAACAAAACATGACACAACAAGACATGACACAACAAAACAAGACACAACAAGATATGACACAACAAGAGACAACACAACAAGACATGACACAACAAGACAAGACACAACATGACAAGACATTACAAGACATAACACATCAAGACAAGACACAAAACAACAAGACACAACAAAACAAGACACAACAAAACAACACAACAAAACAAGACACATCAAGACAAGACACAAAACAACAAGACACAACAAAACATGACACAACAAGACATGACACAACAAAACAAGACACAACAAGACATGACACAACAAGACAAGACACAACATGACAAGACACAACATGACAAGACATTACAAGACATAACACATCAAGACAAGACACAACAAAACAAGACACAACAAGACAACACAACAAAACAAGACACAACAAGACTTGACACAACATAACAGAACAAGACACAAGACAAGGCACAACAAAACAAGACACAATACAAGACAAGACACAACAAAACAAGACACAACAAGACTTGACACAACATAACAGAACAGGACACAAGACAAGGCACAACAAAACAAGACACAATACAAAACAAGACAATGACACAACACAACAAGACAGTGATATGACACAACAAGACACAACATAAAACAACACATCTCAACACAACAAAACACTAAACAAAGACACAACATGACACAACAAAAACAACACAAAACATCTCAACACAACACGGCACTCACTTTAGCTAAAAACTGTTCCAAAAGAAACTTCCAGCAGCTCAGTATAGAAAGATGGCAACTAAAAACTTAAACTGTAGCTAAAAGCTAAACATAGCACAGAAGCTAAAATCCTAAATTAGAAGCTGTAGCTAAAAGCTAAAATTTGCAGGACTGCCAAAGCTAAAAGCGGCCAAAGAAGATGAAAATGGAGCCACAACGTTTCTCAATTATCTTAATGTGCTTCTGGTGCCATTTGTCAGTAAATAAAGATTAATTACTGTAAACGTTTAAAGTTACAAAAACTATATGTCACATCCCTCTGTCCCTAAACGAGCCGAACATTTTGATGAGAAAACAGTTTAAATGTGGAAGTAGCTAGATTAGAAAAAGATGAACCAGTCAAACAGCCGAATGAAGCTTTTATTGTGGAGAGCACAATGACAGAATGCTCTGACCGGAGGCTCAGCCGAGCTGGAAACATCCCATCCTGCGTTCATCGAGCCGAGCGCAGAGACACAAATTAACCCCCGCTTCATTTATCCTGCACTGCGCTCCACTTGACGATGGATGTGTTTCCATAGCAACGTGGTGTTACACCGAGCTCCTCGTCTTGTTTCTGTTTTCTTGTCCTTTTCAGTTGTTACTGTCACCAGTCGCTGCACACCGACCAAAGCAGAGACAGAAACAGAAAAAGGGTTAAATCAACAGAGCTGTTTAATCTGCAGCGTTCTCAGATTATTTTTAGGGTTCTCAGATTATCCCTTTGCAGGATCTCTGTCTGTTCTGGTCCTCTTGGCCTGACTTCTCTGTTCCTTCAAAATGTCAAAGCCTGCAGGCTATCCAACCATCATCCATCCATCATCCATCCATCCATC